TAAAAAAAAAAAAAAAAATAAAAAACATTTTTTCCGTATTGATATATAGTTATATCAACACTCGTGGAAGTTGGGAAAACTCGAAATTGCAGGAAAACACTCCTCCCTTCGGGCGTCGTGTTTCCATACAATTTCTCGTTTTCCCAATTCCACTCGTGTTGATATAACTGTATATCAACACGGAAAATGTTTTATATTTGTTAAATATTAAATTGCAGACTATTTTGTCTAACCGTATTTGCTAATTTGCTAGCCTACCTCACGGCTCACACACAAAATCGTTCATATATGATCAGTGATCACACGCAATGTCTCATTGCCGGAATATTGGTCAGGTTTCGGAGCGATCACGGGAATTATGCCCTTTTTTGCTGGTATTATATGCCCTTTATTATGCATCACGAGAGCGGCGCAAATTAGATAGTTTTTATATGATAATTTTAAGTTGTGTACGCAATTTAGTTGTTTGTGCAAGAAACATCATGACTCATGAGTAATGTAAGTAATAAGATGATGCTGAAACGCGCCCTTTTGGCAGCCAAGCAAGGAAACCTTAAAATGCATATGCGTGGGGTCCGTGTGTTATTGTATAAAGGAGCTGTAAGTTGTAAATCTATTCAGATCACTAGATCAGTAGAGAATATAATTGGGATTAGATTAATCGCTGGAGTTATATAGTCAGCATTGCCCAATTCAAATACTACTACTAAATTCTATAACCAAATTGCAAATTTCGACACGTTATAATCCCGTTTCCTGACCATCAGATTTCTGTCAAACCTTCCCCACAAAGTCCAGGAAATTGCATTTCAGAGACCCTCAATTCAAAAATTTTCCGAGGGGGCATACCCCCGGACCCCCCTAGATAAACCTCGCACCTGCGGCGCTCGGTTCGTGCCTTCGTCCCTCGTTTATCAAGCGTTACAATATAGGGGCGCATATTAGTTCATAGCCAACTGCCCCCCCCCCAGAAAAATAGTACCCAGCACGCCACTGTTAAGACATGTCATGGAAAGAATATGGAAATAATGTTGAATGAAAGCTAGCATCGCGTATAATGTTAAAAGCACCGCATATAGTGCTCGAACCACTGCGTATATTAATTGCAAAAGCAACGCGTATATAAATGGTGAAAGCACCGCGTATAATGCTGGAACAACCGCGTATAATGCGGGAACCACCGCGTATAATGCGGGAACCACCACGTATGGTGGCGAAAGCACCGTGTATAATGCCGAAGACCATGCACCGTATAATGCTAAAAGCACCCAACAAAATGCCGTTTGATCACTTTAAGCCAGCTATGGCTTTCCATAAAAGAAGACCAAAGATGAAAGATGATCACATTGTCTGTTTGCCTTATGCCTGACCGCGCTGCACCACGGTTAAAATTCACTGGTACCGTCATGCAATGCGCCAAATGGAAAATTTTGATTTCGACCCACAAAACAAAATTAGGATCTGCTGCCTTGCTCGCTCGCTTCAGGCTCGCTCGCTGCGGCAGCAATGACACTGTAGTGATTTAGTGTCAAGTGATCAATGACTCAACAAGGCTATTAGGCAAACAAAAATGAGTGTGGTACCATGATCATCAGATAGTTAAACATAATACTAGCAATCCTAACGACACAACGTAAAATCCATAGGAAACCGGCACAATTCTTTGAAAATTCAACGAAACTGTGTAAAATATAGTTTGATCACTCTGTGAAAAGCCGCCATTTGAGTTTGGAATTGTGCGCGTGCGTACAAGTGTATGGGCTAATAAACGAAAAAGGTACCACAAGCATTGCACGAGTCAGCTGTTACGTACATATATACGAACTTATTACTATATTAACTAAATCATGGAACCGAGAGACTCGATGGCATTTTGGCTTAATCGCTGCATCCTGAGCCTGCGATGAGCTAACGCAAACTCGATTTCTCGATTAGGAAAAAAAAACAGAAAAAGAGGGATTTAAGACACTTGGCCTGCAGGCCAGTGTAATTAGTTCCTCGCATAGTAAGGCTTATAACGATTTGCTGTTATATGTGTATCTAAGTATGCTTTTGCAACGTAAAAACTCGTTGATTTTGCCAAACTCTGGCGTCCAAATAGCATATAATAAGTATATGTCGATATATAGCGGCTATACAGGGTGTATCAAAAAAAACTGAACAGATTTAAAATTGCTCTCAATTTCGCAAAACACCTATTTGTATCCGGTTTTTTATATATATAGCCTCTTTGGGTACTTATAATGTAGAATAATGAGAAAGATTTCTCGAACTCAAATTTTGTGAACCAGGGGGGTGTGTCTTTTCCAACAAACTAAAAATGGCTCGCGCACAAAATTTAAAAGCTGCAATCATATTTTGAGTTAACAGATGGAAAATTTGTCGGGATTTTAATTACTGTACAAAATTTCAGACAATTTGGTTTAGTTTAAGCCCCTTAACTATTCACGCAAAGTTACAATTTTCCCGAAAAATCAGCTATTTGCATGCTTAATTAATGCATTTGCCTAATTTGCATATGTCAGCAATATGCAAATTAGGTAAAGGCATTAATTAAGCATGCGAAAGGCTGACTTTTTAGAACAAAATGAATAGTTAAAGGGCTTAAACTAAACCAAATTGTCTGAAATTTTGTACAGTAATTAAAAACCCGACAAATTTTCAATCTGTTAACTCAAAATATGATTACAGCTTTTAAATTTTGTGCGCGAGCCATTTTTAGTTTGTTGGAAAAGACACACCCCCCTGGTTCACAAAATTTGAGTTCGAGAAATTTTTTTCATTATTTTACATTATAAGTACCCAAAGAAGCTATATATAAAAAAACCCAGATACAAATAGGTGTTTTGCAAAATTGAGAGCAATTTCAAATCTGTTCAGTTTTTTTTTATACACCCTGTATAGCCCTTCAAAATAACGCTCCTTTCATTTCTATGCAGTGTGCATTGGATACACAAAATCTGTCGCCTCAATTTCCAATCACGTGAAAGTAGGCAGTGTCACGTGTCTGTTGTGGTTGCCCCTACTTGAAAATCGGGGTAGTCAGAAGAGTCGTGTGACTGTTTTCTGTTCCATTCCATTAGTGTTCCGAAAATTCGGAGTACTCCGAACAGTAAATGGAGCAGCTTGCAGGACTCAGCCAACAAAACGCAATAATTGGAATAATATGGAATCCGGTCCCCGCCTCCTTTGAAAACGAAAACGAAACAATCTCAATGGCCGCATTTCAATAATCCTGCTGGGTAGTTGACTATCATTTTTGGCATGGAACTCTCCACTTTTGAAGTATCAGAAGGTAGAATACCTTTCGTGGATCTTTGTTAGTGTAATTATTACAACAGCAATCGAAGATGTAGACGTGTCAGCAAAATAGCTCATTAAACAATTATATATATTTTTACCATCCAAATCTGCAACGTTAAAGACTTTATTGTCAAGTGAGTAATTGGAGGTATACTAGGAATGGAATTAGGATCTAATCATCCTTACTTGCATGTACTAGATACTAATCATGCTTACTTGCAGCTCAGAGCTGAGCTGAACTGCGAAGGACGTAACTCAATCTGATCGAGTCGAAGGCTCATTAAGGACACTCTGGCAGCCACCTTATGACTCATGTCTGATCACGGTGCACAGCTATGGTGGAAGGGTCAGTTAGGGGGCTAATCCCAACCCTGTCAACATTCTCTGTAGAGTGTTGACTAACTCTTTTCACATAAGTGTCATTAGTCCAATGTGAGGATCGAACCCACAATCTCAGAGGTGAATAATGCTTGCTTTAGCAATTGCACCACCGAACTCCTTTAATAAAGAGGGGGTTATTGATTTGGGGTTTCATAGCGGAGGGCTGGGGATAATAAAAGGGAAGCATTTATATATGTATAGGGAATTCGCCTATGTAGCAACTAAATCCCCCCTGATCCACTATACTACAAATAACATAATTTAATTTTTTTAATTTAATTTTTAATTTATTAAACTTTGCCAAAAAACACGTAACATGTACAGAACAGCAAATAGACATCTAGACAATAAACATGGACAAGAATGGCAGGGATACCAGAACAGTGTAAACCAATTACTGTGGGCCCTTATACAAAAATGCACAAACAGTACAGAACATATAACATGCAGTACATGGACAGGAGACTAAAACAACATGTTAGTTTGGAACATAAATAAAGACTAGTGTTACACTTCAGACATATAGTCTTCCATTACAAAGTGTACAAGCTAGAACAGGGATGGATTGATGTAAAATTGTCTGGTACCTGACAAAGTAAAATATTAAAGTAGGTGCATTTGGGCATATTGCAGCTTACAGGATTTTTACATGAGCCCAGCTAGCCCAAATGAAATATATGCCAGGCAAAAACGTCAGCAAGCAATATTACATTGGTGGGGAAACTTTACTTGTTTATAAGCAAATAGCTGAAGGCTTTCACCGAAGTCAAATTCATGCTTTATTTGGTGACTTTCCAACTTTGGTGACTTTCCATCATGGACAAATTTCAGCCCGGTTGACCGAGCACCCCGTTTAAATCATGTGGGATACCAGGCAACCACTTTCTCCTCCGCAGAGCTTTCCACACTTTTTAATTAAGATCGAAGGCGAAGCTTATATAGTTTTCATAAGTCAAGCACATCTATCTCTCGCTTTTGTGAATCGCCTTGTTTGTCTTATAACATCGAAGCTTCGTATTGCTAAAAAGCCAGGAAAGCTCTGCGGAGGAGACAGAGGTTACCAGCTATTAAACAGCCTAGCCCAGTAATCATGAACATCTCGTAATTATCAAAGATTATGTTTGGGGTATTTTACTACTAGAAATGCAATCTGGTTTCAAGGCATTCATCTCTTTTCTTAAAACATGTAAAAATGTAATTTGAGAAAGAGCGGACCAAACTGGTGATGCATACTCCAATTGGGATCCGTTATAACTGCGCAATAAATATGAACAATGTTTAAAGGGCTCAGTCCAGCTTTCTTTAATAGGCGTAAAGCATAATTGCGTGAATTCGCTTTCTTTAAAATTTTATCTACGTGTAAATCCCACGAAAGATTGTTGGTCAACCACACGCCTAGTAGTTTAAAACTGGAGACTCTCTCCACTACTAGTTTATACTTAAGAAACGTAATAACCACATCTTTGCATTTCTTTGGATTTAGTCTCAATCCTCGTGCGTTTGCATATTCGGATATTTGGTCCACGATAATTGGTTGGAAGCTAGGTGAATATCGTAGGATTATTTCCAAGGCCGTAGTATCATCGAAAAATTGACTCTCCTAGGCCAATCCTTGAGCAAAGAAGTTACAAGGACTGCAAAAAGCAGCGATCCTAGTTTTGTTCCTTGTGATAGGCCACCGTTTGTTTTCTTCTACGACGAGTATGAGTTTTCAATTCGCGGAGTAGTTTTAACTCTATTTTGGGAGTAGATTTTACTCCACAATTTTTATTCGCCAGAGTGGAGTAGTTTTAACTCCTATGGTGGAGTTAAAATAACTCCTTGAAATTAACAGTGTGGCAAATATTCTTCTCCCCGCAGAAAAACAGCAGTGAAAGCTAGTTTTATCTCTTTTATTTCGATTGCAGTTGTAAGATTTCACAAAGGGAAAAAATCTTGTCCTTTTACATTTGGAATATAACAATACAACCTGGTTGCTCGTTAACAAGGGCGGTCTCATGTTAATGCTTGCCTTATACTTTACGCTGCTCTTGTCATGACTCTTTATGCAGATAACTGTGTTCCTGTGAAAAAGAATTTAACGAAAGAAGCACAAAACGTTTTTTAAAGATCTTACAAAATGCCTGAGAAGTTGTGGAACGAGTTAATGTGATCAAGTTACTGGAAGCCTGGAATGGGAAAGGGAATAAAAAATTACGAGTGAAAGACCTACCTGCGCCCACTATCACGTCAGTTGTTTGTCAGCGGTTTCTCATTCCCCTGATACTTGATGTTATATTGAGTGAAGGTTTTAATTTCACGCCTTGTTGACGATATCATATCCTGTACCAGGACTCCGCACAAACAATGTCCAGGCGGGAAAAATATCAGTGTGTATGGTATTATGAAATCAAACCTTAAGTCAATTACGTTGAATATTTTAGATAGCTACTATCGGGCTCTTTGATAATTTATCGAGCACGTTTTGAATTCAAATTGAGTTTTAAGTGCGCAACCAAACTCTTTCCCTAATCCAAACCCTAATGGCAACCCTAAAAGTCTAAAAATAGTAACTCCCCCTAAAACGTGGCTCATATGACAAATAGGTCACTGAATGTTTCGAAAATGCGGAAAGTAGCTCGAATACGAACGTACAAATAAATATAATGTATAAAATACAATGGTACGGAAGCCCGGCAAAATGCAAAGCAATGAAACAGAAGAATTTGATGTTAAACCATTTCATTAAATATTATTCATCGTGGTTGCAAGTTTTATCTCAGCTATCCCTATTAGACGATTACTTCACTATAGGATAATACAAATGTTCTCAATCAGTGCGGCCATGCATAACCTCAAACAAAAACATAACTCAATAACTTGAATTAACTTCTGTTTAGTTTCCAGACCATCATATCTTGAACTCGGTTATTTTGCGAGCTGCAAGTTGCGAGCTGCGAATCGCTAGCCTCGCTTTGAATTAGACCTTGAAAGTATATTAATATGGACGACATGGAAGGCGAAGTCGAAGGTTTTTTTTTCATAAATATTAATGACCTTCGAAGTTAAGTTCCCTGTAAGTAAATTCGTTTCAACACGTTTTCCGTGCACTAGTACTTCAGTCGCATCGTACCGAAGCGTAGCGTATTTGTTTTTTTCCTGAGCACTAGAGTGGAACGAATGACTTTGACACAAAAGAAAACGCTACGGTACGGTCGAGATGAGTATGTTCAAGAATTAAAATAATTATATTAAAAATCAAAGTGTATAAGTTTATATTTGCCATTTCTGTGTTTAATTAAATCTAGTAGTTATCCAGATCATTTTGTGCTTTTTAAGGGCCCACAGTAATTGGTGTAAACTGTTGTGGTGTCCCCGCCTCTTTTTATGTCTCGTGTATATGAATTGTTGTGCTTGTACTGTATTGTGTACGTTTTTTGTCAAGGCGAAGCTAAATAAATAAATAAATAAATAAATCTTAAAATGGTTATTTTAATTTTATTAGTAAGTATGATCAGACACCGACTCAGATAGTTTATATATACTGAACGCGGGGAACCCTAAACTCAAGTCCTTTTCATCGGAAGTACAACTAAAGTTAAAATAATTCAATTTGTGCATACATACATATACATACATAGACTTTATTTAAACACCGGGAAAAACCGTCAGTCGTACATCAAAGCCATTATCTATTATTATTTAGATAACCTCTAAGCAGTACAACTGTGCTATTATTCACTTGTTGCTATTGTGTTTTATTCTGTAAATAGTTCTAAATCACGAAAATCAGCTTGAAAATAAGCTTGTAATGTTGTCGAGGCTTGCGTGGATAAATAAAGTTTGTATGTATGTACGTATGTATTGCCATTTACATTCAAGTTTGTAAGTATAAAAATAAATGCAATGAGTGAGAAAGGAAAGAAGCTGAGATAAATAAACCAAATTTTATTTCAAAAGCTGAAAATTGGCGCCAAATTGAGACAAAGCTAAAATCCCATCCGCCAGGATGCCATACAGTTTTCAGTTTGATTTTTCAGTGTAAACCATAGGTGTAAACACCTGGTTCGGTGCTTCAAAGC